AATTCCCTGAACCTGTCAGAGGGAGTTCCCCTGGACAAAGTGACGTCATTCCCGTCGGTGTTCACAGACGCGTCCCTCTCCGGCTGGGGAGACCTGCCTGTCACAAACGATAGGAGGTGCATGGCCGGCCGGCACGTCTCTTCACATAAATGTTTTAGAACTTCTCACAGTAAAAAAAGTACTCAGACATTTTGCCCCACTGGTTCAGGATCATCACGTGATGATCCACACAGACAACAGAACCACAGCGGCATACATAAATCGCTCTGTCCAGTACACGCGCTCAGGTGTGACACGCACAGCCGTGATGTGTAAATCCGATCAATTGTTTGTACATTTCAGAGAACGATCACAGGGTCAGCCTTTATCTTGGCAGCGTCTGTCACATTGGTTATGTGAAGCTATATCACAAGCTTATAGTTTCAACCGCCTGAAGAACTCAGGGCTCATTCCACCAGAGGAATTTCTACCTCCACAGCTCTGCACAGAGGGGTGTCTGTGCAGGACATCTGCTCTGCGGTTCATGGTCATCACCAACCCCCTTCATCCATCTTTATTTACGAGATGTCTCCAGCTCTTCGCTGACACATTCAGTTCTCAGAGTTATGTCAGAGTGATTTTTCACAATCACAAAACTAAAAATAAATAACAACAAACAATAATACAACACAGCCTTGCTCTGTCGTTATTAGTGGGTGTTTGCTACGATTACTCGTTCAAACAGGAAAATTCCTTCTTCCTCATTGGAAATTTTTGCTTCTTATTCCTCTATTGCCTGATATGAATAAACATTCCTTCAGCTAAGATCAGGCACAGAGGCTGCACGCCTTTAATCCAGTACGCACCAGGTACATGGATCAATGGTGCATAATTACGCTCGAAAAGAAGGAGGTTTAGGCGGATATCAGGGTGTTTTTGATGGTTCTCGGCCAGACCCAGTGAGGCATGGACCATATCCTGCTCCACCCTTTAAACCCAATAGCAACAGCTTTTAAAGGGCATAGCAGCCTAGCCTCCGATGTGTGATGGGACACACATCAGAGGCTATGAAGGGTTCAGTGTCTTGCCCAGGGACACTTGAGCATGTGACTGTTGGTGGATTTGAATCCCCAACTCTCACATTGGAGGACGACTGCTCAAACCACGCAGCCACAGCCACCCAAGAGAGTACCTCATGAGCTGTAACTTTTAAACCTGATTCATAATCCTACATTACTGCCTTACCTGCCTGCTTTAAACGCATGTGTTTTCCATTTTAGTATAGATTTTAACAATAAAGATGTATTAAAAATATCTTCACTTTTATTATTTACAGATATGCACAAGGTTCAAGTTAAAATTGCAAAATATCACACTGTGCTGTAATCTTTGAAACTGCTTTTACAATAAGCTACAGACTTGAAAACAATTAGGTTAAATTATGTCCTTAAATTTTAAAGGTTTGTCTTTCATTAAATTTAAAAACATAAATGAATTACTTATTAATCTAAAAAAGTTAAGTCTGGTCCTCTGGACATTCAAAAAACAAAACAAATAAACAAAAAAAAACATTTATTGTTTTTTTATTATAAAATGTATTGTTTTGTTTTAAGAGTGTCCAGAGGAACAGACTTAACTTTTTTAGATTTTTCTATCTGGATTATTGAGCATGCATCAGGATATTCCTTAATAAATAGTCAGTTGGTCTGCAAACGCCTTAGGGGTCCTCCTAGAAGAGTTGAAGAGGTGGCTATTGATGTCTGTGCCTCCCTGGTAAAGCTGCTCCCCCCACGACCCGGAAGCAGAAGATAATGGATGGATGGATGGATGGCGAAGGAGACCATCAAACACAGCAGGAGTACTCAGTTCAGTTGAACACCTGCCTGTTTGCTTCAGATCAGCTGTTCAAATCTCTGCAGGTTCAAATAAAAGGTGCACCAGGGCTTTCAGCTGAATCTCTCGGGCTACAGTTGGACGGCCGATAACCGTTCCGATAATCGATAACGGTCCTTTCTGAATTTTTGACTGTTTTTGTCTGACTTCATCCTAAAACCAAAAAAATTATAACATAACAGTTGAGCAGATTCTGGTAATCTTTTCTTAGGATTCATTAAAGGTCAAATGCAACTGGACATTTTTAATAACTTCCAGTATGGCTTTAAACAAACACTATACAGTAGGGCTGCAACTAACGATTATTTCAATAATCGATTCATCGGCCGATTTTTTTTTCGATTGATCAATGAATCGGCAAAAAGACCCAACGTTTTAATTTCCACCCCTTTATTCCAAAATTAAACATTTGACTGACATAGCAATTCACACAAAAAACAGGTTGCTATTTGACTATTCTGTTAGTAAAATATTGAATAATAAAAAATAAAAGTTAGTCACATAGCTTAAAAAAATAAATGTACACAAAAATATATACAAATGTGTATAATACCTGCACAATATGTAGCTACTTTGTAAAATGTGTCCTTGAGGGAAGAGTGTAGCCTGGATTAAAAGTGTGGAATATTGTAACCTGGATTAAAAGTGTGGATTATTGTAACTTGGATTAAAAGTGTGAATCATTGTAGTGAAGCCTTCGTCTTCAACCATCGACAGAGACCTCATGTCAGTGATGATCATGTTCAGGATGCTTTCAGTGAAGACAGCTGCTGCTGTGGTGTCCATGATGTCTGTCCATCATGAAGGATGTTGTTGTTTGTTGTTGTTTTCTGGAATGAGAGAGTAAATATGTATTATATCATAATTTACAGCAACTCAAGAAATGCCTTGTTTCACTTACAGTGTTAGGTTCAGGCAAAAGTAGCTAAAAGAGAAATTAAACACACACACACACACATACAGTATATAAAATACTTAATTACACACATTTGAGTAGATGTAATAAATTACTTTAATTCCTGTTTAAATGCAATTCATCCTGCCATAAACGCAGTATCTTCAGCCTTTGCCAGCAAATTAAAAGTTGAAGCTTAATCATTAAATGATTATCTTTGTGTTAGATTTATTTATAAATCACATTTAAACTCTGCTTGTACCAATTACATTAAATAAAAAGTAACACACGTTCTCTATCACCGCCATTAATCAGAAAACAAACAAACAAACAAGCAGCTTCATCTACCAGAGAGACTGACGTTACGTTTTCTCACTTGCAAACAGAACAATGTTAAACTGTAGAGACTCACCTGCAACACAAGTTGGGAGTGAGACATGTATCAGCTGCAGCTCGTGACTCCGACATGTTTACGTTTATCAGCGTGGTTCTCCCGTGTCGTGTCGGCGATTTTCAAAGCATGCTTCTCATTTTTATCTTGTGAAGTTCTCCCGCACTTTGGAGGACTTGGGTCGAACAGTTTTCGCTGCGTCGGTCATTTGTAAAATTTACTTATTTTGCTTTGAAAACACTCTGCTTTTCTTCCTCCGCCCCCCTCGCTCTGTTCAACTCGCGCTGCCAAGGTTTTTTTTTTTTTTCCAAACTTTATTCAGTCAGTCAGCATTGACAATGAACTGCAGGTGAACAAAACGAAACGGCTCCGGAGGACAGTTAGCTTTTATGCAAATTAGCTTAGCATCGTAGCACCGATGTTGTCCTATTATGGCGTCAGCCTCTTTTGTTAGTTAAAAATATGTTCAGAACCGATGGGATGAGTAACTTAAAATATGTTTAAAGTTAGAAAACACTCACCATCTTCTATAAATGATTCAAGTAGAGCAGTGGCCATATCCAAACCACCCTCCAATCGCTCCATCTAGCTCGCTTTGACATTTTTCGTTGGCCACCAAGCACAACAACACCTGCACTTCTGCAATTGACCACGGCTTTGACATTATTGATTTTTATATCTTCAAAATACGTACAAGATACGCTCCTCGAGTTATCGCTAACGGCAGGCGGTAGAGAAAAATAGTGGATCGGGTTGTTTGGAAAGACTCCACAGACTCCTCCCTCCAACCAATCACTGACTGACAGTGTTTCTGACATCACGGCTCAGCTCTCTTGGACCCCTTGAGAAGCAGGGCCAGAATACTGGAGGTAAGCCGATACGAAATACTAATGGAAAAGACCTCAAACACGGGCCAAGCTGGAAAAATTTGACCCGTGCCGTGACAGTGGAAAAGGGGCATTAATTCCCCTGTAGTTGCTACAACTCTGTACATCACCCTTGTTCTTAAAAATGGGCACCAGCACACTTCTTCTCTATACAATAAATAAATTAATATGAAATAATTTACCTTGGTCATAACGCGTTTATTTTCCACTGATAAAGCATTGTTTCACGTTTTACTACACGTTTGCTTAGTTCTAATTTAGAAACCTTGATATACAAACTTTGAAAATTATAAGCACAGTTGGATAGAAAATTCAAAAAGAGATGGCGGTACCCTCAACCTGAAACTTTCACTCTTTACAAACGGAGATAAAACGTACTAAAGTAAAACACGTTGCAAATTGTTCATTTTACAAGCAGAGTAGTAACTGTAGGTGTCTGGGATAGAGCGGCTCAATATTCACAGGAAAAGATGCTGAACATGACATGTTTGTAATAATACCATAGCTAATACTGGCTAACGAGCTCAAGGGTCAAGTCTGACCGGAGACGTAAAGGTATTTCCGATTTTAGCTGTCAAAATAAAACAATATGCAAAACAAGTTAACATGAAGCCGTTTTAACATTTATTCAAACATGTAATAGCGCTAAAGACCGTTCCTAAATTTGTCAATTAACACTGATACTTTAGGACAATGTGACATTTTTTTCATTTGTGTTAAATGACCAAAACGAATGTGTTTTATCTTATTTTGAAGCGACGCATTTCCGCTTTGACCGTAGATAGCTGAAAATTGACGCTGCTACAGCAGCTAACCATCGTTAGCTTGGTAGCTAACTATAGCGAACACAATACGTGCATATACATAGGTTCATTGCCTCTTTACAAAATAACAACAACAGCAATATATGCAACAGACTTTGCGTTATTAGGAATATAGTACAAAGTAAATGTACCTTCCGGTGCGAGACCTGTGGTAACGGTGGGGCCTCAGGATGCGAACAGCTCAACTGACAAAAAAAAAAAAAAACAGTCGGAGACAGCGACGAGTCCTGCCGCTCCACCTCGCTCCTTCACATTCCCTCCCTGCTTTTCTTAGGCAGTTCTTACTCTGCCACTCACTTCTAGTCGCAATTTACTCAACCCTCACATTGATTCACAATGGCAATAAACCGTTGCTGAAAGTTGCCGGGGTGCCCTCTTCATTCTTTTGTGCTCCTTACTGTCCTTTCGGTGCTGTATTTTTATCCCCACAATGCAACGCGCTGTACAGTAAGAACCCGGAAGTTCCACAGCTGGTTGACTGTAGTTCACATAGTTCAAAACAATGTTCATATTCCAGCTGTTTGTATGATTTCTGTTGCATACACCACATGTAACATGCAACTCACATGTTCCCTGATGTAATGGCCGTTTAGTTCCGCATGTTTTCTTTTACTTTTT